TACTTCCTCCCCAAATCTCACATGACAAACCATGATTGTTGGTGGGGAAGGAGAGAAGATTTTTTTGAATCCTACCAATCTCTCTCCCTTATCTAGATCAAAGAGAAGAGCCTAATCTCTTACCCTTATCTAGATCTGAGAAAAGTACCCCTCCCTCATAGAATGAATCATTCTTCTATGTGGTGCACTTTCTTTTAAATTATTCTCACCCAAGAACAAAACCCAAACCCATAATCCATAAACCTCAATTCTTAAGTTTTTTCTATTAAAATCTTTCGCATGCGACGTACTCAAACCTCAGAACCCCTAAAACCCTAATCTCTGGCTGTTCATTGAGGAAAACCAAAACACTACAATTCCTTACCTGCAAATCCTCACTTTTCTCTCCCATAGAACCTCTCATAAAGCAACCCCTCCATTGTTATACATAAGGTTCTCCTATGTTGAGGTCAAAATGAAATGGAAAAAGGACTGGTATTTAGACGCACTTCCGGTCTTGAATAAAATCCATGACCTCAAAGCAATATTCATGGTGAAAGACAGTATCATAAAAATATTCACTGTAAATGACTACATCATAAAAGAACCAGATTTTTGCATCCCAATCTCCTGAATTTTAGAAACTAACTATGAATTAGGAATACACATTAGAGTTGCTACCTTTCTTAGGAAATGCCTAACTATGTTTGAGGAATTTATAGGTGAAATATAAAATACGATCTCCTATGGTTTAGGTTGATGCAAGAAGCGATGGATCTCAACCGCCGAGAAGAGGTTGTATATCAACCAAGGGGGAGAGAGAGAATGAATGAGGAGATAGAGAGAGGATAAAAAAAAGGTACTTTAAAAAAGAAGGGAAGGGTTCATGGGCAACTTGTTGCGCAAATTTTCTTATGAGATTCAAATCTCATCTCGAGATTTGAATCAAAATCCAGCTATGCTTTTTAGGGGTCCCATGCTATCATGTGTGGTAAGATCCTATAGGATTATTACTCTATTTATAATGTGTTTTAGTGGTTTTTTGGTTTTGTTTTTTAAGGCCAGATCTAGCCGAATCGGCCAATTCTTCAATCAAATTGCTGATCCATCAATCTGACTTGTTTTTCTGGATGGACGATCGGAGTCCCTAATCCACTTTTTCAAACCTTGAGAAACCCAAAATGGATAGCAATCATCTTTTATGAATTGTTAAGTAATATTTTCTACCCAAGAAAAATACATGGTTATAATTGGTACATAAATGAGAGCTTATTTTTAGAATGATTGCACTTAAGATGGAATGGGATCAAAACTTTTTCCATTAATATTAAAGAAGGTTCATGTTCCATCATAAAATGAATTGCTACTCCTAGAAGCATTTCAAGCCGACTAATGATCTCTATTTAGCAACTGTTGAAAGTGCCCTTAACAATTTCCAAAAACTCAATACATTTTCCCCGTACCCACAGCTATTACTTAGCTCTTTGTGATTATAGTTTATCATTAGCAATAGTTTTAGCATACTAGTGACAAAAAAGTTTTATTTTTAAATTTTAAAAATTTTATAATTGGATAAATCAATGGTTTAAAAAGCGGATCGGTGACCCGGATCGGGGACCTCAAAAACCAATCCGGATCGGCGAATCGGCGATCCGGATCGGGAATCGGCTGAATCGTTCGGATTAAAGCTTCAAAAAAATCCGAAAAAATTATTAAAATTCATTATAAATGTTGTTTTTTAGGAATCCAATAAAAAAATGAGGGTACTACATTATTAACTTTCATTTTTTTTTATCAAATTGTGAATATTGAGATGTTCTTTCCCTGTATAAATTTATTTTAACTATTAAATTTGCATCACATAAAAAAAAAATCATAGAATTATCATGGATAAAATATATAATTATATATGGACTACTATAAAGAGTAGACTAATCAGTGAAAGAATGGCCATTAAAATTTCGTTTTGACGAAAAACCCTAATTCGCTAAAAAAACCCAAACTATTACAGCCTAACTAACTATAATCCAAAATTATTACAACCTCACTAATTATAATATTATATACTGAAATTATAATTATTAGTTTACATTTTATAATTATTTTATTAGACAAATAATAACAAATTAAAAATATTTTATAATATTATCTAATTTAAAATGTATTATTGACAACTGTAAGAAAAATAGTACATTACATGATTTATAATGTAAAAATTCATAAATAAAATAAAAGATTTGGTTATCAATGTAAAATTTAATAAAATGCGTACAAATTTTGGAAATAACACTTCAATTTTTCAAAAATTTATTTTTTTAGGTTTCTATAATAAATTTAGTAAAAGAGATTGTTAGTAGAAAGATAGATATTTTAAATAGAATAAAATTTTTATTTTTATTTTTTTTATTCCTTTCATATTATTCACCAAAATAATTATACCACTATATACAACAAAAATTAACTGTTATATCAAAAATTAATTTTTTTATTTTTCATTTTTTTATGTCTTTTATATTATTTACAAAAATATTTATATTTATACCAACTACTATATAGACAACAAAAATATTTATATTTATACCAACCACTATATATACAACAAAAATGCAACACATGCCCAAGGAGATTCGAGTACAACAAAAATATTTATATTTATAC